TGGACAGACGTCAGGATATGCTTCTACGGGCACAACATTCTGAAGAATCAGAGCAGGCTGCACAGCGGGGACAGAAGGATGGTGAAGTAATTTGGCAGCATGTGACCTCCAGAAGAAGAAAGAGGAGCGTCCATGTACCAGCAATGCAGATACAGGTGAGCAACCGTTTTCATGTTCTCTCCACTGGTACTAATGTGGAGAGTGTACTAGATGATACATCTAAGGGAAGGGAGCAGAAGGAGACTCCATCGATAGGAAGGCATGAGATGCACTGTCCTAGGGATGAGGGTTCCACAACCACTGCTCGCAAGAGAAGGAGGTAGGTGGTGGTGGTCAGGGACTCCCTCCTCAGGGGGACTGAGTCATCTATCGGCCGTCCTGACCGGAAAAACCGAGAAGTCTGCTGCTTGCCAGGAGCTAGGATTCACAATGTGATGGAGAGACTGCCGAGACTCATCAAGCCCTCGGATTGCTACCCCTTCCTGCTTCTCCACGTGGGCACCAATGATACTGCCAAGACTGACCTTGAGCAGATCACTGCAGACTACGTGGCTCTGGGAAGAAGGATAAAGGAGTTTGAGGAGCGAGTGGTGTTCTCATCCATCCTCCCTGTGGAAGGAAAAGGCCCGGGTAGAGACCGTTAAATTGTGGAAGTCAACAAATGGCTACGCAGGTTGTGTCGGAGAGAAGGCTTTGGATTCTTCGACCATGGGATGGTGTTCCAAGAAGGAGGAGTGCTAGGCAGAGACGGGTTCCACCTAACAAAGAGAGGGAAGAGCAGCTACGCAAGCAGTCTGGCTAACCTAGTGAGGAGGGCTTTAAACTAGGTTCACGGGGGGAAGGAGACCAAAGCCCTGAGGTAAGTGGGGAAGTGGGATACCAGGAGGAAGCACGAGCAGGAGATCACGAGAGGGGAGGTCTCCTGCCTCATACTGAGAAAGCAGGATGATCAGAGAGTTATCTTCAGTGCCTATACACAAATGCAAGAAGCCTGGGAAACAAGCAGGGAGAACTGGAAGTCCTGGCACAGTCAAGGAATTATGGTGTGATTGGAATAACAGAGACTTGGAGGGATAACTCACATGACTGGAGTACTGTCATGGGTGGATACAAACTGTTCAGGAAGGACAGGCAGGGCAGAAAAGGTGGAGGAGTTGCATTGTATGTAAGAGAGCAGTATGACTGCTCAGAGCTCCGGTATGAAACTGCAGAAAAACCTGAGAGTCTCTGGATTAAGTTTAGAAGTGTAAGCAACACGGGGGATGTCGTGGTGGGAGTCTGCTATAGACCACCAGACCAGGGGGATGAGGTGGATGGGGCTTTCTTCCGGCAACTAACAGCAGTTACTAGATCACAGGCCCTGGTTCTCATGGGAGACTTCAATCACCCTGATATCTGCTGGGAGAGCAATACAGTGGTGCACAGACAATCCAGGAAGTTTTTGGAAAGTGTAGGGGACAATTTACTGGTGGAAGTATTAGAGGAACCAACGAGGGGCAGAGCTCTTCTTGACCTGCTGCTCACAAACAGAGAAGAATTAGCAGGGGAACCAAAAGTGGATGGGAACCTGGGAGGCAGTGACCATGAGATGGTTGAGTTCAGGATCCTGACACAAGGAAGAAAGGAGAGCAGCAGAATACAGACCCTGGACTTCAGAAAATCAGACTTTGACTCCCTCAGGGAACTGATGGGCAGGATCCCCTGGGAGAATAACATGAGGGGGAAAGGAGTCCAGGAGAGTTGGCTGTATTTTAAAGAATCCTTATTGAGGTTGCAGGAACAAATCATCCCGATGTGTAGAAAGAATAGTAAATATGGCAGGCGACCAGCTTGGCTTAACCGTGAAATCCTTGCTGATCTTAAACACAAAAAAGAAGCTTACAAGAAGTGGAAGATTGCACAAATGACCAGGGAGGACTATAAAAATATTGCTCAGGCATGCAGGAGTGAAATCAGGAAGGCCAAATCACACTTGGAGTTGCAGCTAGCAAGAGATGTTAAGAATAACAAGAAGAATTTCTTCAGGTATGTTAGCAACAAGAAGAAAGTCAAGGAAAGTGTGGGCCCCTTACTGAATGAGGGAGGCAACCTAGTGACAGAGGATGTGAAAAAAGCTAATGAACTCAATGCTTTTTTTGCCTCTGTCTTCACGAACAAGGTCAGCTCCCAGACTACTGCACTGGGCAGCACAGCATGGGGAGGAGGTGACCAGCCTTCTGTGTAGAAAGAAGTGGTTCAGGACTATTTAGAAAAGCGGGACGAGCACAAGTCCATGGGGTCGGATGCACTGCATCCAAGGGTGCTAAAGGAGTTGGCAGATGTGATTGCAGAGCCACTGGCCATTATCTTTGAAAACTCATGGGGGAGGTCCCGGATGACTGGAAAAAGGCTAATGTAGTGCCCATCTTTAAAAAAGGGAAGGAGGAGGATCTGGGGAACTACAGGCCAGTCAGCCTCACCTCAGTCCCTGGAAAAATCTTGGAGCAGGTCCTCAACGAATCAATTCTGAAGTACTTAGAGGAGAGGAAAGTGATCAGGAACAGTCAGCATGGATTCACCAAGGGCAAGTCATGCCTGACTAACCTAATTGCCTTCTATGACAAGATAACTGGCTCTGTGGATGAGGGGATAGCAGTGGACATGTTATTTCTTGACTTTAGCAAAGCTTTTGATATCGTCTCCCACAGTATTCTTTCCGGCAAGATAAAGAAGTATGGGCTGGATGACTGGACTATAAGGTGGACAGAAAGCTGGCTAGATCGTCAGGATCAACGAATAGTGATCAATGGCTCCATGTCTAGTTGGCAGATGGTATCAAGTGGAGTGCCCCAAGGGTTGGTCCTGGGGTCGGTTTTGTTCAATATCTTCATTAATGACCTGGAGCATGGCGTGGACTGCACCCTCAGCAAGTTTGCAGATGACACTAAACTGGGAGGAATGGTAGATACGCTGGAGGGTAGGGATAGCATACAGAGGGACCTATACAAATTAGAGGATTGGGCCAAAAGAAATCTGATGAGGTTCAACAAGGACAAGTGCAGAGTCCTGCACTTAGGATGGAAGAATCCCATGTACTGCTACAGACTAGGGACCAAGTGGCTAGGCAGCAGTTCTGCAGAAAAGGACCTAGGGGTTACAGTGGACGAGAAGCTGGATATGAGTCAACAGTGTGCCCTTGTTGCCAAGAAGGTTAATGGCATTTTGGGCTGTATAACTAGGGGCATTGCCAGCAGATCGAGGGACGTGATCATTCCCCTCTATTCAACATTGGTGAGGCCTCATCTGGAGTACTGTGTCCAGTTTTGGGGCCCACACTACAAGAAGGATGTGGAAAAATTGGAAAGAGTCCAGCAGAGGGCTACAAAAATGATTAGGGGGCTGGAGCACATGACTTATGAGGAGAGGCTGTGGGAACTGGGATTGGTTAGTCTGCACAAGGGAGAATGAGGGGGGATTTGATAGCTGCTTTCAACTACCTGAAAGGGGGTTCCAAAGAGGATGGATCTAGACTGTTCTCAGTGGTAGCAGATGACAGAACAAGGAGTAATGGTCTCAAGTTGCAGTTGGGGAGGTTTAGGTTGGATAGTAGGAAAAACCTTTTCACTAGAAGGGTGGTGAAGCACTGGAATGGGTTACCTAGGGAGGTGGTGGAATCTCCTTCCTTGGAGGTTTTTAAGGCCCAGCTTGACAAAGCCCTGGCTGGGATGATTTAGTTGGGGATTGGTCCTGCTTTGAGCAGGGGGTTGGACTAGATGACCTCCTGAGGTCCCTTCCAACCCTGATATTCTATGATTCTATGATCTTATTACATAAAAACCTCTGGTTTTAGCCATCATAGCTGCAAAGAAAAACTTGAAAATTTGAACCCTAAAGGCTCAAAAAGCTAGAATGGAACATCTATTATCTTTAAAGTATCACAATTTTTATTCAGTGTTGTGATTTCAGAGCCTGACTCATGATTTTTGAATCCTCAGAGTTGACAATACTGCTGCTTATAGTGGGCTCTCACTTTCCTAGGTCTTCCTCTCCACCTAACTCCTCTGCTGTCCATTCTCCGTCCTCATTAAGGAGAGCAGCAATGGCTCTAGTCACTCCTTCCCCACTCCTTTTAAAGGATAAGTAGCAATTCAGCTGTTATAGGTCCTGTAAAAGAACTCTGCTTCCTGCCCTACATTCCCCTCCTGAAAAATGGGGTGAGTGAAGGGCTGCTCAACAGTTATCCTCCCTCATCACCTACTACTAAAAACAGCAGCAATGATATGAAAGATGAAATCTCAAGAAGAAATAAGAGGTACATAGCCTTGAGAAAAGTACTGAACAACATAGATATTAATCACTACATAAACAGCTTTCCAATGTTTAGTCATTACATCCTTATATTCTTATCACACCCTTTTTGGTATGGGAGAACAGTGCTTGAACTCTAACAAGTTTATCTTCTAAAATCAATGCTGCATTTGATTAAGTTAAGATCAGGATCTCAGAGCATCGAATGCAAGCTAATGAAAATCTTCAATTTTGAAACTACCTTTTCCCCAAGGAAAAAAAAAAGAATGCTAAAATATTTGAGTTTCTGTAACTTCTGGAACAGTTTCTGAATGTAGTGATAAACCACACCTCACCAGCAGGCAATGTGAGTTGACAGGGATCTTAGAAGCTAACATGGAAAGAAAATGGATATGGGGAATAAACAGTAATTTGGAAAACTATAATGGGTAGTTTGAAATGAGTAAGATAAGGTATTTTTTTATGTGTATGGCACCATTCCATTTACTTTAACACTTAGTATTTTTTGTGCAGTACATAGTTTACATGCACTGGTAAAATAATTATCTATATACAAATGGTAAACATCTAAAATTAAATTTTTACAATCATGAAGTGTTTAAATATATTGAGGGGACAAAAGGGGGGAAAGTATGTGAGCTGGGATATGATGAAATATACAGGACACGTAAAATGAAAAAATAACAGAGAGAAAAGCAGTAGAAGAGACAGACCTGAGTTTCTTCTTCTTGATGATTCCGCTTCTTCTGTGATCACATCATATAATGGACAGACATAGACAAAGGAGATGGGCGTGAGTGGATGTACTCAGAAGGTAAAAACTGACACTGAGGGAAAGGGTTGAAAATTGTTTTAAAGAGAAGCTTGTCATGCAGAGTTAGTATATGGGGGTAAAATAACACAACAGACACCAAAAGGAAAAAGAAAGCTGAGAAAGAGCTGATTAAACTACTATTGGAGAAAAAGAACCAGAAAGACAGAGTTAGTATAAGAGATGAGGAAATAACAAATGTTACAGTTGACTGCAATGCCAGTCCTGGCAGCGAAGCTGAGGAAAGACTTGGTTAGCAAAAGGCAGGCTAATTAGCAGTTACCACTTTGTTCATGACATGGATTAAGCTTCTTGAAACAATATCTATTTAAAAGCAAGTAACTTTTTTCTTTCTTTAAATGAACCTTAAAGATAACAAACCCTGATTTCATTCTTAAATTGCCAACATTGGGAACTGTATTATTAAAGTATTTTAATTATTTCTTTTCCTTTCTTATTTATGCTGAACCAAACTTCAGTTTATCCAAAATTACAGATTAATAACTGGAAAAGTATAAAAAAGCCCAATATTTTCCATAATTCACATAACACAGCCTGCAAATAATCTGTGTTATCATAACATTGTGCTACTGCAATATTATCCAGCCCAAACTGTAGAACAAGGACAGTAAAAACAGAATATATAATTATTTTCTCTCACATTCAAATGAGTAGATAACATTCTAGTCCCCTCACTTGTAAACCAATTATATATGACTTACACCGTACAGGATATTTATATAAGTCAAGTGCATGAAGCAACTGTGTCCTATACCTTACATTAAAATGTAGCATTCAAAACCATTCACTGCCATCTAAGACATGAGTATATTTTGGGGAGAGTTTCACTCAGTGTACTATATGTCTATTTCCAGTTAGAGGGTGGAGGGAAGTAATCTTCAAAGGTAGTGGAAATTACACAAATGTTGGTGACCTGCCAACATCAGCAACATAAATGCATTCTTGTCTTCCAAAACATAAGCAGAGCCAAATTATCTTGGCCTAGCTTTAACTTGCAATCCATACTGATCCTGAGACTTTCCTCATATATTCATCCCCCAATCAGAATTCATCTGCAGGCACTATAAAAAGAAGCCCAGAAAAGCTTGGGCAGTTGTTTTGCAATCAGTGTTGTCATTC